TTATTTCAGATCTGTTTCATTGTTTCTTCCCCTCAGATGTCTTTCTCAGCCAACTAGTCCCCCGCAACCATCAGCTCTTTCAGATTAAGCAGATCGCTTATCCCATCAGACTTTTTGGTTTAATTCTTCATTTACTTATTTTCTGGCTAAACTATAACAAGCTCTATGAATTCTGCACCTGATCATGTCAATGCCTGGTATGTGGGAGATATTTAATATGTTGTTAACAGATACTTTACCAACCAAAGTGTATTTTAATTAAAAAATTCACCTTTGGATGATGGTGGCTATGATGGGTAAAGTGGAGGGTCTTCATGATTGGATTTGGGAGCCATTGGGGTATTGACGGAACACATGTCTGAGTGTGTCTGGATGAGTCTTGGAGGTGTGACCTTGGGATTTATATCGTTTCTTCTCTTACTGTTCTCATGCTCTGTTTCCTGGCCACCATGAACTAACAGGTCTCCCATGCTATACCTTCCACTGTGATGTTTGTGGCCTAAAGCTACCTTGCAATGAACTGAATCCCCTTTTTAAAATGAGGTAAATTAAGCCTCTCTTCCTCTACATTGTGAGTTTCAGGTATTGTGTGCAGAAATGGAAAAGCCAATATTGGCTGGTCAAGACTTTGACTCTTCAAAGAACAGGCTTCCTTAAAATTCATAGCATCAAGAAAAACCCTTGCTACTCTTTGCAAGTTTGCTAATTTTTTTTTTTTTGCTAACATTGCCCTTATCAAAAATTTTATTTTCCTTACCACAGCTCTTGCAATTACTAGTTTTACTACGTATTTGATTCCTTAAAATCTACCTGTCCTTATGAAATATGTAGGTCTCTTTAGATGAGTGATTTTGTCTATTTACCTCTGAATGACAGCCTTGAATAGTAACTTGAACAGAGACATTCACAGTTAGTTATTGAAAGAGTGAGGGCAAAATATAATTAAAATTATTAAGTCATCTCAAGTTAAAATGAAGAAACATCTTACATAGAAAAATTGGACAAATGTTTTAAGTAAATATTTTTGATCACTCGATTATACATTTCTTTATTTGCTCTGATAAGTCTAGTCCTCTGAGACCTTGGGCAAGTCACTGCCAACATTTTACCTTAGTTTTGTTTATTTGTTTGTTTTGAGTTTTTTTTTTTTAGGGGGTGGGTAGACAGACTCTTCCTATGTAGCTCAGATTGGCCTCAAACCCAATAAAATTCTCCTGCCTCAGGCTCTCTAATGCTTGTGTACACCATCACACCTGCATTTTGCCTTATATTTTGATCCCTAAAATATGAGAATTAAGAATATAAACAAACCAATTAAAATTATCTTATCTCTTCAGAGCAAGCTGAATTTGAGAGTTCAGTAATTACCAGCAGCTGATTATCATTCAGGGATAAATGAGCACATAGGAGAAAGTAAGAATGGTGGGCGAAAACAATCAGAGGGGCAATTTTATGCTGCTTAGAATAGGATTTCTCTTGTTTTGTCTATTTTTTAAATAAAAGCTCTAAAGTCTAGGGAAATAAAGAAAAGTTTAGATGCTTCTAAGTCTAAGGAGAAATTAATAAAATGCAGTGGGGAAATTAAATTGAACAAAAGTGCAATGAGCCATAGTTAAACCAATTAATTAAACAGATTTTGATACATATATAACTGGGTTGCTGAAGAATTAAAAGTAAATCCAAGATTTTAAATCTGTGCTTGGTATTCAACAAAACACCAAACAATAATTTGCAGAAAACTTGTACTTGTTAAAGCAGTTTCTATGATGAATTCCTCCCATTTTTCCTATGAAACATTACCTTTTTTTTTTTCTCCATTAATTGTAAAGAATCTGTGCTTTCAGTGCTATGCAGAAGTCTTAGGAATGCTGTGACTCTCTTTTATATTCTTCTTATGCTAATTTGCAAACTATGTAATGTGCTTTCAACATCAGTTATGAAAAGATTTGGTTTTTTCACAGTATATGACTGCCACTTCACAGAAAGCAATAAAATTCCGTTGCTTAATGCACCTGCAATCTAGCAAGTTTGAAGTATAAAAGGTGAGCTAGCTATCAAGGCCAAAAGCTGGGAGTCACCTTGATCTAACTTCAATTCAAAGCTTATTACTTCAGAGGTATGAAATCCTGTATAAAAAAAAACTGAGCTCTAATCAACCTTAGATTTTTTGACTGCAAAATTGCTGTTAAATGTAACATTCTAAAATTCTTCAGCACACTGGTGGAGAAATTCCTTAACTGAATGGATGTGGTAACATACTCAACTTATGATTATGTTTTGATTTCCATAATTGTTTATTTGAAAGTTCTAGCTTTCACTAAAAATATATATTAGAAAAAATGGTTAGAAATCGTTAGAAAAATGGTTTTTAGATGAGCCTACAAAACTTTCATTTACCAGAACATTGTTTTCATCAAGAATTATTATGAGTGTCTTACTTACTTTTCTCATTGCTAAGATAAAATATATGACACCAAAATTGAAAGGATGAAAGGTTTCTCTTAGCTCACAGTTTGTGGAGGTTTCATTGTGAGCTGACTCAGAGGCAGGGCAGCATGGCACATGAGAGACAGTCCACGGCTAGTCAGTTAGAAAGCAGCAGCCACAAGCAGCACTGAGGGAAGCCTTCCTTTCCCTTCCATACTATCCATGTTACAACCCTTTTGGGTAGTGCCACCCACACCCAGGGTGGGCCTTCCTATTATTTGAATCCTTATCTAGCACAGAACTATGCTAAACAAATTTAGATATCAATATATCCTTAATCCCAGTATCACACAACCAAATCCAGCTATTTTCAAAAAGCCCCACTTACCAGTGCATGCGGCTCTGAGGGGACATCAAGATACAAGCCATAGTAGCCGAATTTGGGCTAAGATAGTCAACTGGTGGTTTTTTTTTCCCCCCTGGAATTTCTATCTTTAGCGGAGAAAGTCATTCATCTCAGGAACCCTTCAGTCTCAGACAAATGTAATCATAATTCCTCTGTCTGGAACCTAATGGTGATTTCATCACTTCCCCATTTTTCCACAATACTACGTACATTTTTGCTTATGGAGATATAAAGACAAATCACTCATGGTTCTTGTCCTTAAGCAACTTGTCGTCTCTGAGAGGAGACAAATACACAAGTGTCTGCAAGCCTTTATAGAGATGGAAGTTTTCCTGGGAGGATGAGAATTGAACTTGACCCTGAAGTAGGTTTCAACAAGAGTAATGAGGGTTTTCTACCTAACTGTTTAGGGAAATTTTTATTTCAGAGCACAATGTTCCTTAAATTTATGCATCAAAATGCTGTCTCTTTAGATTCCTGTTGATTATATCTAATTGGATTTTGGATAACTTCTTCTTCTTCTTCTTTTTCTTTTTTTTTGTACCAGGTATTGAACTCATGACCTTGCACTTGCTGGACAGGCACTTAAGCCCCTGTGCTAAATCCTCAGCCCAAAAACTTCTGATACTTATGTAATCTTCAGGAAATCTTAGCAAAATATAAACTGAAACAACCATCAATCTCTGATTTTATAACAGTTCCTCTCACTCTGGATATAGAACTAAGTTAAGATCTACCTTGAAAAAAAATGCTGTCTTCTTGCTTTATCATTACTCAAAAATCATTTCCCAAAGGAAACTACTATTAAATTGCAAACAAAACTAAGGTTACCATAAATAATTTTGTTCTTGCCACAATATTATTGTGGTTGCCCTAAAGTTATCAAGTTAAACATGTTTCCCAGGGCTGTCGATGTAACTCAGTTGGAAGAGAGGCTACTTAGCATGTATGAAGTCCAGGGTACAATCTTTAAAACCATGGGAAATGATTTTTTTCTTTATTTTTCCTAAAGCTTGTTATCAAATAATTGGCATTTTATTTTTTAGCCTTCAGTAACTCTTGATGTATTCCTGAACATAACTGTAGCATGCAGCAGATGCTGCAGCCAGTAGAGAATAGCACCGTGACTGTTCATTGTTCTGGGAAGTATACGCGTGACTAAAAGCTCAGAATTCAGTTTTCCACCTACTGAAGGAAGCTGATTCTTCACAGACTTGGAAGGTGAGAAAAGGGCTTATTCCCAGACAACCTGCAACTTGATCAGCTACAACTACCACATCAACATTGTTTACTGTTATATTCTGAACATCTGGGACACAACTGATGTACAAAATTGTTTAACAGATAAAAAATGCATTTATAAATCTTCATTTTGTATTTCAAACAAGATCAGTATTGTCTTAGGATTTACTTGAGTGTTTTCTGAATCCACTAAGGCTGTGTTTTCCTTTTCAAGAACCAAGCAGTTTGTGGAGTAGCTGGTTCCTCTCTACCTTAGCTCAGTTTGTAATAATTTCTGGGAGTGTTTGATGGATCGGTGTCTGTTCATCACTGTGGATACCAGCAATCTACTCTCCCACATCATTAACTAGGGACTGAACAAATGCCTGTATTACTTATGAAAATCAGTAAACCTTTTTGGACATTGCAAATTATGCAGCTTAAGTGTCAAAGTCAACTAGGACACAAGGCTACAATCACACGGTGTACTTATGTAAAGGTCAGATAGTGTCAACCATTGATAACAACTATGATCTTGACCACTAACCATAAATATTACATGGGACTTTACTAAGCATGTAGATGAGGCTATTATACTCCATCCTTGCTACAAAAAAGGTATCACATTCCAAGTTTTCTTTATAATATGAATTGAAATCATCAATTTAGGTTTAGTAGGTATACCATGCATGAAAAGCAGTGTTGAGAATTGTAAATGTGCGACAGATGAGGATTTTATGTAATATGAGAATTCCTAGTCATTTTGAACACTCAGACAATGCTTTTATTGAATATGAGGATTCTTGGTCATTTTCAGTACTCAGACAAGGGAGTACACTAAAATCCCAGTTTCTGAGTATCTTTTACCTACATTTGCTTGACATACATTTAAAATTAGAGGCAACATATTTTTGCAAATTGTAAACTTGTTTTACTATTATTTTACCTTTGAAGTTTACTACACCAGCTGCAGTTGAAGCCAATCTGAGAGGACACACAAGGGCCACAACTGTTGAACTGGAGACAAGCTAGGAAACAGGACAGAACATACTCATTAACACTAATTAACAGCTTGGGGGACAAAAGACCACTAACAAAAACAAAACAAAACAAAAAAAAAACCTAGCACCATCCATCTCTGTACACACAATGGGTCAAAATACTTATGGATGCCAAACACAATTATAACTATATAACTAAACTAACACAATAATTATTGAACAGTTCAGATCATCAAATTTTCAAATCATGTTTTTGACCTAACTATGCGCATATATTAACTTACTAGGTAATGGGGTCATCTCCACAGCTGAAATGTTGGTGATTTTTGACATCTGTAGCTCTACTCGGTGATATTCATAAATTGTTCTTCTTCGAACATCTATAATAAAAAAAAAAAAAAAGAAAGAAATTAACCTTCAACAATTTTCCACTTACAAAACAGCAATATTTCGATACCATTTTCTCAAACTAAAGTTAAAGCTTTAAGGAATGCGAGGTAATTAAAGTCTAGCCAGGCATGGTGCCTTATGCCTATAATCCGTTATTGGTCAACTGAGGAACGAGGATCACTGCAAGTTTCAGACCAGCTTCAGCTAAAAAGTGAGTTCAAGGCAAGCCTGAACTACATAGAGAAGCCCTGTCTAAAAGGAAAAAAAGGTCAATCTGACATTAGTCAGAATAATAATAATAATGTCCTTGCTTTAAATGTTTAAAATAAAATTTTTAATAAGGCAAAAAGGATGTTATTTTTATTAGCATGTTGACTATAGTTGATAACACTGTATAACTTGAAATTGGAAGAGAACAGGTTTTAAGTGGTCTCAGCATAAATACACACATACACACAAATGATATTAATTAACTGGATTGTGGTAATCATTTTACAGCGTGCACACATATATCAAATCACTGTTATGTATCTCACATAATTTTCACTTGATGGTTATAGTTCAGTAAAACTTGAGGAAGGATAGAATTTAAATCACTTTAAAATCAGTATTGTTATGTATTACTATATAATGTATCTAGAGAAAGTCAATAATTAACATTTATATTACATAAAATAATTTATAATAATTCATCAGAAAATCCTATATGGAGACTTGACAAGAACTTTAGTAACTACAAATCAGATAAACAAAAGTGAATCCATTATAAACTAAAACAAAACAATTATATTTAAAATTCTCATGGTAAGCCTTACTAGAGAATATGAATGGATTTGGTGAGTATAATGGAAAAGTCATGTTGTCAGCATTTTATTTCTTCTTTAAAATTTTTGCAATGACAGTGCAAATAATACAACTATAGAAAACGTTTGAGAGACTGTATGTTATTTAAAAAATCACAGTGCCCAATCTTACTCTAGAGGAAATTTAATTTGCATTGGTCAAAGAACCCTTTGTCTAAATGGGATGAGTTCCTCATATGTTGCTCTCCTGAGCATTTTACTAAATGATTCAGTTTTCAAAAGTAATACCTCAAATGGCTTTGCCATAAGATCGGTAGGACTTTGCAAGTGCATGGTTGTGAGTTCGATCCCTGATACCAAGAGAGAAAGAGACAGCAAGAGAGAGAGAGAGAGAGAGAGAGAGAGAGAGAGAGAGAGAGAGAGAGATCAGGAGTTTGGGAGTGTTCCCATTAATTTTCAGAGTCCGTCTGGTGTTTGGTATATTAGTACTTTCATTTCATGTCATATTTTGAAAAATCTCATGTAATGAGAGTGGCTGGGAAGCCTCGGGGAGCTAATTATTATCCATGCATATGGAACAAAGGGAAAGGGACAATTTTTTTTAATGCTAGCTCTATTACCTGCTCAAAACCCCAACTATTGGGAGGAGATGATTTCCCAAAATCAAATTAATGAGTGCTTTTGTTTGATAACCTGCCAATCAATAACAGCCTCCAAATGGTCACTTCTGTGGTATTTCAAAGACACTCCTGTCAAAAATAAGTCATTAGCAAGTTTTTCACTCCATAGTCCTGCTAATGTTAAAAGCTTTCATATTTAGTTTAAGTGTCTTCTTCAAAGAATTAAGCCAAATAATGTTGAACCAAATACTGAGTCTTGGTGGTGGCAATCCAAATTTAGCTAGTCTATTCCAGCTTCACAAAACCAAGATTCACTCTGCAATACTTTTTCTTGAAGGATTTTGATAAATAAAAGATGAATCCAAGCAGATTAATGTGAAGGGAAAATATAGTTCAGTGATGGAAGTCATAAGGTGATGTGATGCAATGTAGAAATTACTGAACTTCGTGTTTAAAAAAGTCTGACAGCAATCTGCAGGAGGAACAGAGTGATCTTATCAAAACATCATAAATCCTCTCTGATGCATATGTACCCTAAATGAAATGAACACAGACAAGTACCATGTGGCATGACCTAGTTCATTTTCCTGTTTTGAAAGTTAACATTTATGCAGAGAAAACTTGTTTCCCTAAACTGGCCTATCCCCATCTTTATATAAATATTTCAATATTTTGTCCAAATTGTGAAATACATGATATGCTAGTATTTCCTTGTTTGCATTGCCAGTGGTTAGTGACAGGCCCCAGATTTTTGTATCTTATTTCTTTTCAAATTGAACCCTTTACATGACACTCTATACCAAGTACTCCTGAATGGAAGTTGCATGCTCTGCTCAACTTTAACGTTCACTTGCAGCCTGAACACACAGGAAAAAGACTCTTGAGATGAAAGGACACTAACAGAGCAGTTCTTAGCTTCCTCATGAAAATGCAGTGCAAATAACAGAGTTAGTTACTTGGTGCTATTGAATGAAGTATCTAAAAACAAAATAAAAATGCATTACCCCCAGTTTTTCCAATTCCCTCTTTATTTCTAATTCTATTAAATAATAGTGTAATTAACATTGATTAAGCAACATACACCTTAGCTGCCCATGAAGAGCTAACCCAAGCCTTAACTTAGGCTTTCCTTTCATTTTTCCTTGACAGATTGTAAATGTGAGAAGATCTCTAAAATCTAAATACTCAGATTTTGAGCATAGATTGAAGGGAAAGAGGAACGTGGCTGAAATAAGCCCTCATATTTCTCTTCCTTCAATACATATTTTACTAGTGGCTTGAACAAGATCATTTTCTGACCTCCTCAGAAGAGAAGCAAACCAGCATTGAACAGACAGGCCAACATGGTGACAGAGCGGGCTGGGTGGCACATGGACTGCAGATCTGAAAATAACTTCGTATCTTCATTGACCCCAGGGGGACAAAAAATCTCTACTTCTGTGACACATGCAAAAGTTGTTAAATATATATTTGCAATGTTATTAAGCCTTATGCCTTATGTTATTCAATCTCCTGTAATTGACTATAGTTTTTCTTGGAAGAAAAGGAAATTATGATTACATTAAATGAAATTTGGTGAAATACATTAAGAGTTTCCTCATTTTGACCTCAAATATTCATACATACACAAAAATTAGTGCTAAATGACTGTACTATAATTACAGAAAACAAAGTCGCTGTGGGAAAATTCATCTGGAAATATTTGCTTGCAGTCAGGTTTATAAATGTATGCAAGTAATAGTAGTTAGAAATATTTTGTGTAGTAGGAAAGTCTAAATCAAAATAGAAATATACTTATGTAACAGAAAAAAAAGTAAGAAATCACTAAGGTAAGGGTAAGTATAAATTTGAAGTTTGAAGGCAAATATGAAAGAAAAAAAATTAACACCTGGAATCATATTTTAAAATAAAGACAGATAAGACTGAATAGACAAATTTACCCTGGATTATTGTTGAGAACTGTCTTGACTTATTCCCTGAGCCTTCCATAGGAAGGATACCACACAGTGGAGATGTGTGAGGATGAGTTTTTCATTCACTGGGTTTCTTTTCCTTGAACCAATTCATCCTGTACTACTGAATATCCAATGAACAATGAACATATACTGAGTAAATGAATGGATAAATATTTTGAAATTTTAACAATAAACTACTTTCTGTGACTTTAGGATTTTGTATTGGAAGTAGAAATTCAAGCTTTATTAAATATATTGAAAGACAGCCCTGGGTTGGTAAAGATTTTTCTCAGAGAATATGATGTCAGATGAAATGCCAATGAATGAATGAAGAAATGAATAAATTCAATTTAGATAAAGGAAACAGCTTAATCCACAAAATCCTGAAGGAATTCTTCCCTGTTCATAAAACTCCAAGAAAACAGAAAAATTCTCAAATATGTTAAAGCTGATAATCAGTGATTTTAATAACTAGAAAATTTGAGATGTTTGCTTTGTTTTAAAAATCAAACCAGGGTCAACCAAATAATACATGGTAGAAATGTATAAATTAAAACAAGAAACTATCACTTACACAGTGCTTACTTTTTAACCAGAAATTATTTTATAAATGAAGCTGTGATTTCTACTTATTCTTTTGCTAAGATACTCATAAGCTAGTGCATATCTGAGAACCTAAACAATTAATGAAATTGAGCTGTAAAGGAAATAATGCCATCTTTTATAGAATAAATAATTTTGAAGAGCTTTCCACTTTCAGGAAAGCTGAAGGAAGATGACACAACTCACTGAAGATCTAGAGACTGAGCTAGTTTAAATGAATGAAAAGACTGATGATCCTGAAAATAACCAATGAGACTCAGTTCCTCCAAAAAGGGCTTAAAATGAATTCAGTAGAATATAGTCAGATCATCAGCTGTGGTAGTACACACGTATAATCCCAGCAGTCTGGGAAGCTGAAGCAGGAAGATCACAATTTAGCAGAACCCTGTCTCAAAATACATTTTTTAAAATTTAAGATAAGAGATGAGAATGTAGCTCTGAATTGGACATTAGTTTAATTCATAGCTCCACAAAAAAGTGGGCTTCGCTGGGGATGTAGCTCAGTGTAGAGGTTCTCAGTTTACTCTCCAGGAATTAAAAACAGTACTATAGGAAAAAATATCAGTTAGCTATATGTACCATAGTTTTAACACATTTTGACTTCACTTTTTATTACAATTGGTAAGTACGTATAATGAATGTGTTCTACCACCAATCAAAGCTAGAATATTTTCCTATGGGGAAAATGAGTTACAATTAGTATAATTAAAAAAAAGCATATGGGAACACATCTAATATCCTAATGTCCTATAAAAGGCAAAGAGATAAAAACAATGTGACATTCAGCATTCAGCATTTTAACTAATTATGCATATATGGACTATTGTTCTTCTGATATAGCAGCTACTGGTCACATGTAGCTCTTAAACTTAATAATAATTAATTAAATACAATTGAAATTCTGATTCTTAGGCTCACAAGCCCCTTTGAGGATTAAAGGTTAAAATGTTTCCCATACTAATAACCAGAATTCTGTTTATTAAGGTTACCTTATTCACAATCTAAATAA